CTTACTTCTCTCTCTCTCTCTCTCTCTCTCTCTCTCTCTCTCTCTCTCTCTCTTTCTCTATCATTTTTTTATAAAATACTTATTAATCAAATTAAAATTTCTGATATATAAAATTATTTTAACATTGGTATTATAATCATAAAAAAAACCTCTCATTTTTTTATTTTTTTTGTAAAATATTTAATAATAATAATTAAATGAAAATATTTATTTAAAAATATTTAAAATAATATCTTGTTCACGGGCTTAAGAAATATTTTGACTTAGTTTATTTATATTAAAGTGATGTTAAATTCACAAATTTTGGTGTACCATTACTCAGACGTTTAGATCCCTCCCATATGAGAATTGTGAAGTCTTCTGTTACGGCATAAAAATGATGTTGATCTAAAGCCCATGCTATTGCAATTATTGCTCCGCATCCTTTCATACCATTTATAATTTCTCTGACTAATTTTAAGTCCCAACTACTCCATAATCTTATTACACCATTATTTAATCCTGTTGCAATAACATTCACTGAAACTCCTTCTGGTGCATTGCTATAGCAAACAGCTGTTATTTTTGTTTTTGATAAAATTGATCCAACTGCTCTTGCATTTATTGTAAATACTTTCAATTCGGATTCATTGGAAGACGTATTTTCACTTATCTTAGGAACTTCGTAAGTAACTGCTATATCTCCAAGAGTTTCGCTAATCGATAGTAAAGAAATAGGATAATTTTGATCACAGGATATCGATCTTATATATGTTAAACTACAAAAAGAAAAACAGAAAAATAACTTTAGATATATAATATATTTTTATTTACTTATTTATTTATTTATTCATTTACCTATTTAAATCCCAAATAACGATAACACCAATTGCGTCACCTGTTACAGCAATACTAAATGCTCGAGATAAAGATATTGTTGTTATTCTATTTTGATGAGCTAGCAAAATCGATGCCGGCGTTAAATTGAAATCAATCTTGCTTATTATAACTGTGTATGTGTGCACGGTTATTCTACCAGATAAATGACCTATCCACAATTGTCCACAATCTGGTGCTGATCCTAAAATTGTAATCTAAAAAAATAAAAAGGAAAAAATGTTATTAACAATTATTATTATATAAAAAAAATTTAAAAATATTAATTCATGTATTTACTGGATCGAGACCCGAAGATTTGATTAATGGCCTTGGTGGTTGTTCCTTTTTACATTTTAATCTTGCAATCCCATCTGTACCATTCCATGATACTAAAGCGGCCGCCAATACAGATGCCCCGCTTAACATATTTGTAC